TCAGAACATCTTGGCCACACTGTCAGATAACAAATATTTTTGTAACCTGCTTAGATACTCTATTTGCAATCAAGAAGTGTATGCATTTAAAAAAAATATTAGCAGGCATAATTCTGAACACGGCTGCTGCCGGCTGCTTCTTAAGGTATGTTTCATAACATGGGTCTTGGCATAATAGATCTCCTGGTTGGACCTCCTAGGACTCTAATCTGGGGATCTTGAAGCGCTGTACTCTTTTCCTCTCGCTGCTGATGCAAGCTCTCTTATTCTCAGCTGCGTTGGGACATAATTTTGCAGGAAGTTCATGAATAAGCATTATGAATAAGCATTTCTGAAGCAACCCCACACCCCGGGCTGAGGCTGGAGAGAGTCAAAGGCTAAGTATAAATCATGACTGCTGGGAGAGAGGGGGAGAGGAAGAGGAGTCAAGGATGGATCCCTGCCCTAACCCTAGCACAACCTTTCACAGTCTGTTGCTTTTGACTGCCCAAGCATATGGGAGCATCTTTTCACTAACACAGGCCCCTTGGGACCGACCTGTCACATCACCTGTGTGCGCGCCTCTTTGACCACAAATGCCATCTAGGAGACTTTCATTTTTAAAAAATGCATTTCTAGTGGGATTGCTGTGTTAGCCTGTTGCAGTGGAAACAAGGTCCTGTGGCACCTTCAAGACAATTAAGCTGATTAGGCCAACAAGGCTTTTGTGAACTAGAGTGCAAGACTGCGCTATGTTGCTAGACCTCATGGATACAAGAGGTCAGGGATGGCTAAACCTTTTTGCTTGAGAATCATATTCATTATTGCAAACCGATGGGTGGGTGGCTGTGTCCCAAGGCGAGTGTAGTCATCTCACACTCTCACAGGCACAAATACTTGGGAGACACACAGGCACACAGCCCACCCCCAAGCGGATGTGTTCAGATCAGCTGAGGAGAGGAGTTAATCACCTAGCACTACCTCTCTCCTCTTGCTGCGGTTGCCAAAATTGGTGGTCTAGAAAAACATTACTTGGGGCCCATATCAGGACCCTAAAGTGGGGATTGGCAACCCTGGTCTGTGTGCTCATGTGCATGTCATGGAGGCCTTATGAAGATGTAGTGGCCTGGCCAATGCAATGCAAAGGCTGTTAGTGTCCTCTTTTATATACCCACTTTCAAATTTTTTGATGGGGAAAGGAGTCCTAACTTATGTTAAAAGAAATGAACAAGATGCTTATAATATGGTATGAGGAAGCCAAATGGAATATTCAGTGCCCACGACTTTTCCTTAGGCAGCAACTGTTTATTTTCATTTATTTCTCAATTTCTCAAACACCTCAGCCACTTGGCAAAGGAATGATATTTCCAAAATTTCAAAAGCCAAGGCATGCCTGTGGGCTGGGCCAAAGGAAGCTCAAGTAGGTACACAGAGCACTAGACAGGGAGTTAAGTTTTGCCTTGGGTTCTAGTGCACTCCCTTCACCTTGCCTTTGTCTTCTAGCCACTAGCTGTAAAATGGCTACAATTTTGATGGGGCTATGGTTGAAGCTCTTGAGGAGCTGAAAGTCAAAAATATTGTACAAATAAACATGTATTTTGTGATATACAGTAGCATTGGTCCAAAAATGAATATAAAATGAAATTTATTTGTCCCATTTCTTTAATAAAATGTGGAAGGCAATGCAATAAAAACAGCATAAAACAACCAATCCCGGGTGCAATAAAAATGATTGAAACAACATCAAAGAGAACAAGCAACCAATAATATCAGCAAGGAGTGTCAATTTCCACCCTGTTGAACAAAACAATTGCATTGAGATTTATTACAATTTGAAACCCAATTTAAATTAGAATGCCTGAGGGATTGGGGGGTGGGGGGGGATGAATAGCGTCGCCAACCCAATAAATAAATCTCCTAAAGCAATTCTATGCCTCAGTCCTTGTTAACCTGGGGCCTTCCAGGTGTTTTGGACTGCAATTCCCATCAGCCCCAGCCAGCTCAGCTATGCTGACTGGAGCAGATGGGAGTTGTAGTCCCAAGCAGCTAGAGAGACAATATCACTTTACTCAGAATCAAGTCCTACTTTATTAAATGAGCCTCACTCACATGTAAGTATATGCAAATGAGTGGCGCCAACGGGGATAAACTGAGTGATTAATTTTGTAAGTCAAGAGTTTGTACGCCAAAAACAAACAAAAACCTGCTTGCATTGTGATAGAAGAGGCATTTGCTCCTTTGACAGAGGAAAGGGAATGCTTCTTTTTATGCAGTGCTTTTTAAAATAAACAACAGAGATAAAAATAATATTTGTAAAAACTGGATCAGTCAGGGTACTTTCACCTGATCAATTAGGGACCTTTTTTTTAGTAGAATAAAAACTTCTAGTAATAATAATTTTATTTATTTTACAAGTACTACTTGGCAATAGTCTATATAAGCAATGTTCTGGGACTGTCTTATCAGCGGCTGAACAGGAGACGGTAGCAATGCTGTGGCTGCAAAAAAATGGTTTATGGGATTTTCAGCAGCATTAATAAAAGTTTAACCTGAAAGTCAGAGTTGCCTTTATTTCACATTAGTCAGGGCTCATCTGGAGTATTGAGTCCAGTTTTTGGAAATGAAGATGGAAAATGTCAGGCCTCTGAAGACAAGTTGAAAGAATGGAATGATGCAGGACGAGAAGGAGGACAACATGTAAAAGCAGCACTCTCTGCACACAACATGTAAACAGCAGCACTGTTGCTATTCATAACTCCTGGACACACTACTGCTTGTCAGGCAGACACGATACTTGCCAGCCTGCCTGCCAGCCTCTTGTGGTCAGAGGAAAAAGCCCCGTAGAACACCCTTCCCCAGCCTGAGGCTGCCCATATTGGAGGAAGCCCCCATTGGATGATTTGCAGTGCCTCGTCACAATCTTGGATTTCCATGAAGAAAAACCCAAGAGGCCAGGAAATGTGAGCTTAGTAGTTGCATGGGGTGGGAAAGGAAGCTCTAGGGGTTAATGTGGGAGAAAATGGCTGGGAGGGTTGGAGAGCTGAGTTAGCAGGGGTACAGCTCGTGTGTGTGTGTGTGTGTGTGTGTGTGTGTGTGTGTAAATAAAGTCCTCCAACCTTTCTCCAATGAAAACAGAGACACCTTATTCCATGATGATGATGATGTTATTATTTATACCCCACCCATCTGACTGGGTTGCCCCAGTCACTCTGGGCGGCTTCCAACATATATAAAAACATTATAAAACACTGAACGTCAAAAAACTTCCCTATACAGGGCTGCCTTCAGATGTCTTCTAAAGGTTCTATAGTTACTTATCTCCTTGGCTTAGGGGGTCACATAATTCCACACCTTAAGGAAAAGTGGGGCATTCTGGGATCAAACCAGAAAACGGGACAGCTTCTGTAAACCCAAGACTGTCCCTGGAAAATAGGGATACTTGGAGGGGCTGATATACATAACTACAATTTCCATCATACTGACTGTTGATCACTCTTGCTGGGGTTAATGGGAGCTAGAGCCCCACAAATATCTGGCGGGCACCATGTTGAGGAAGGCTAGCCAAGGCGTTTGACATGAAACATACCCAACAGGGTGTCCCACACAAGAAGCCAAGTATTTATTTTCTGCTGTGGCTCCAGAGGGGAAGATGAGATCTAAGAGCTTGGGTAGATTTGGGTTGAACATTAGGTGAAACTTCATGAGAGTAAGAGAGGCTGGGCAAGGGATCCGCTTCCCTGAAAGGATGACGGGCTCTCTCTCCTGGGAGGCCTATGAAAGAGAACACCTTGGGGACACAATGGCTCTGGATTCCCTCCACGGAGCAGAGGGTATGGCTAGCCAGGATACAAGAAAGCCTACAACTCTTATGATCAACAAGCCTTATCCACAATGGCCATGTTCTGCTGCCACAGTCAGAGGCAGTCAGTATACCTCAGAACAGGGCCGGCCTACCCATAAGGCAAAGTGAGGCAGTCGCTTCAGGCCACAAGATCTACAGGGGCAGCGTATCTTGCTCCAAGGAATGCATTGTCCACTGTTGTCATCGCTTTACTCCTCCCTTGTTCCCAAAGTCGATATTTATCCCCAACCCCCTGTTCCTGATGTAGGTCTTCACTCGCCTATTCTTCCCTGTTGGGTGGAGAGGGCCATTTTGTGGTTTGCCTCAGTGTGCTAAAATGTCTTGGGCAAGCCCTGCCTCAGGATACCGGATGCTGGGAATCGCAGGTGGGCAGAGTGCTGTTGCCCTCAGGTCCAGCCTTCGGGGTTCCCTCTGGAGCATATGGTTGGCCACAGACAACTGGACTGGATGGTCTGATGATCTGATCCATCATGCTCTTCATATGTTCTTATGATTCTGTGATAAATTAATAGCAGTTAATTGCTCTCCCAGCCCCACCTGGAGATGTTTCAAGAGACTGGCCTTGGCACCTTGCGCATGCAAAGGAAGTGCTCTCTAACGGAGCCGCTACTGCTGCAGCCTGGGACCCCCTCTGGACTGGAGCTGCCCCTCAGCTTCTTGCAGGAGTAGAAAGTGCTTTCCCAACCTCATGGTGCCTGGGGTTTGGGTTTGGGGGGTTTTTGTATTTTTTTGTTTGCTGATACGGTTCCTTTAAAAAATCACACCCTAAAGTGAAATATAAATGTATTAAAATAAATAAAAACAAACAGAAGAACAAGAAAACCACTATTAGTATAAAAGCAAGAAAACAACTATGATTATTATTGGTTATTGTGATGATAATAATTGTGCTTCTCCAAGCCTATGACAGGAATAGGATTTTGTTGATGGGTCGCAGAGACCCGGGAGGCGCCCACCGCCCTCCAGCAGGGGGCGCGCTGCCAGCCCCTCCCGCCGTCCCTCCCTGCGCCTGACGCTAGGGGGCGGCAAACAGCGGGAAGGCCGAGAGGAAAAAGTGAAGCGGGCGAGTGCGCGGGGCGGGGGACAGAAGAAAGGGGCGGCGGCGGCGGATCTCGCGAGGCCCCTGCGGAAATCCCGCGAGATCTCGCCGACTCTTTCCCTCCCCGCGTCATGTTTCCTCCCCTTTGACAAGCTGCTGCCGGAGAAGCAGGAGAAGCGGGGAGGACGGGGCGCCGCCGCCGCTGCCGCCGCCGCCGCCGCTGCCTCACGGGACCTCCCGCCGCGGGCCCCGCCAGCCTTGCCCGGACCGCACCTTGGTAAAGGGGTCTCCTCCCGGCGCGCTGCTCGGCGTCCCCGCGGGCGCCCGCGCTGAGGGAAGGCGAGGCCTGAGGGGAGGGGGGAGGGGCAACCGCCACCGGGGAGGGGCGGGGGAGGGGAGCCGAGCGGGGAGGGAGGGGCCCCGCCCCCCGCGGAAGGAGGGGGCCAGGGCGACCCCGCCCGGCACCCGGGGGACTCCCGCCCCCATTTGGGCGCCTCCCCCCATTATTTGGGGCGCTCCTGCCCTCGACCTCGCCGTGACGCCGCCGCTCTTCATCTCGCTCACGATCTCTTATTTATTATGATGCTGCTGGTGTAATAATAGATCTTGGACTTGGCTGTTCTTACGGCAATTCCGCCGCCGTCGCTAGTGCTCTTATTTGTGCCAGTGCCATCCATATTACGATATTGTTGCTGCTGCCGCTCTTGCTGCTGGTTGTTATTGTTATGTGTGACAGTGCGCATAGCAATTTGCACAGATCTGTAAGCAACGTTACACACACACACACACGGCCCTTTCCCCTCCCTGTAGGCCCATACAATCTGAAATCAATTGTGAGGGAGAGAGGATGGTTTCTGGAGCTTGTTGATGCCTTCTTCTGTTCTGTTTTCTCAGCAGTAAAATCCCTGCCTCAACTTCCAGTCTTGGAGCTTGAAAGGCAATTTGCTTAACCACGTGGAGTTATTCTTGATTTTTTCCTATTCAACAGGCTACATCAAGTGTCCCATAAGTGGGTTGCCTGAAAATAAAATTAACAAGCAAAACCTGCAATTAGGCCCACATTAGTAAATGCACCCTGGCATGTGTTGAGTGGTGGCATGTGGGTCTGCAACTTTTGCTTCTGATGGGCAGTTTGGGTGGCTCATCTAGCCATGTGTGTGGAATGCCACCTGGGATGGGGGATGGTGGGAATGGCTGGCCAAGAGGGTTTGTGTGCATCTTCCCACAAAAGTGTATTATTTTGCAGTGGTTAATCTGAGATGCTCTCACTGTGAAAGCAGAGCACTATAATTGCACCCATAAAGATATAATGAAAGAACAATAAGTGATCCACCCTTGAACAGCTCCTTGAAGTGCCCCATTACAGTCTCCAAGCATTACTGCAGCTGGTAGTAGCTCCTGTGTGCCAGGGAGGCTTTTTAAACCAGGGGTGGGTAGACTTGAGGTTATTCAGATCTACTTTGTTGTTTACTTGAACCTCAGGTTCCACCAAAGCCAGTTGAAAAGACATACAATTAGAATTTAAAGAACAGGTTGCTTTTGAGAACATTCTGGGCCTAGGTACCAGAAATGAACTGAACTCAGTCATTGACTCCTGGTTTATTCATTTCTGTGGCCTGAGATAGGGAAAAAAAGACATTGTTGTTAAAACAAATGGGAGTCAGAAGTTCTCCTGCAAATCACCCAGATATCTACCATCCCTGATTTAAATGACCTACGTATCTGGGTCTTTCCAGCAAAATTGGCACACCCCACCTGTTGCTATAGTCCGTTGTGTGCACAGGATTTCTCTGTTGTTGGATATGTGAAGTGTGAAATATCCAGCTGTCAATTTGTTGTGAGCTGGCCTTCATTGCTAAGGACCTGTTTGTTATTCCACAGCATTACAGAGCAAATATGGTGGCTCTTTTGGCTAGTTCTCTTCTTTTTCCAGGAATGCAACTGCTGTGTTAGATGTGCCCAGTGTTTTTTTTCCCCTAAAAAAAATGTTTGGGGGGACTCTCATTTTCCTACTCATATTGAAATACTGCCCCTCAATGAGACCAAACTTAGATTCACAACATGTATACATGTATATATATGCATACCCCTGCGTCCCCCCAGAAAAAAAGTACTGGATATATACATTTGTTACTTTTCTAATTTTCTCCTGTACACATCACTGGGCCTTATATACCTGTTTGGCGTTAAATGAAACATTTGAGTTGTCCAACACAAAGCTGTAACAAGTGTTATGGTGTCAGAAAATTGGCAAGAGAGGTTATTTTTTTGTGTGTTCCTATGATAGTCCTTCATAATATTGTGAAGCTTCTTAGTATAAATAGCACAATTATGAATTGGGTTAATATTCCCAGCTTATTCATATATACAGTATTGAAGGTTCTTTTCTAGGCTATTCCGTAGTTGCAAGCCTTTTTGTAACAAAGTTAAGTAACTGGAAAATAACTTCAAGTACCCCTATGCTGGCGCTGCATATTTAGGAACTGGACTCAGAAATTTGGGCACCAACATTGCCCTTATCTATGAACAAGCATCATAACTATATAGGTACAAAGGCAACCAAAGTCCTGGGACATTTCCTCTCCTCAGATAACCTTAGGCAGCTTCCAAGTCCCTCAGTGGTATAGTCTTTTCTTTGTGGTTTGATTAATTCCCATGTCTTATACAGGGGAATGATCATAAGGATTGCATGCATGCTTGGAATTGTCACATTGAACTTATATTCCATATTCCATGCAGACATTCATAGGATCAGGTTCTTTGTAACTTATTTCAGCTCATAAATGAGTAGTGGATACCATGGATTTTACTTTGTGAAGAAAATGAACTCTTTATTTATCAAATAGCAAACTTTACAAAGGCAAGAGAAACAGTATGATTTTACTGCACGTAAAATCAGCCATATTGTCCAGTACGATGTTATGGATTTACTGAAACCACCATACACTTCAATTTTTCTCATTTCAGTTGTTTAAACTTCTTGAGTGGATTTGTCTGTCTTCCATGTCTCTTTAAACCAGGCGTGGGGAACCTTTCACCCTCCAGATGTTGCTGAACTACAACTCCTGACAGACATAGCAAGTAGGGCCAGCAGCCAGCTATTGATTGATTGAGTAACTTTATTTATACGCCACTTTTCCACAGAGTGCTGTGCACAAAATGACTTCCAACAGATATCTGGAAGTGAATAAAAATATTTATTAAAAAACACCCTGCAGACATCTACTTATTATCAAATACGCATGCACTGTTATGATAGGATTTAATCAACACGTAGGGGGCCAAAGGTTCCCCAAACCTGCTTTAAACTACAGATTAAATTAAACAATGGTTTGAACTGAACAAAGCAATGTGCTGTGTATGCTGCACACACCACATACTTTGGGGACTGATTATGATGGGGTTTTGGTCACAACATACCAACTTAAGACCAGTGCTTTAATGATTAATTCAAACTCAGTCTATTGTGGTGAGGATATTTCTTTACCTATAAAGGGACTAGATTGACAGCTTGATACCAGTCTGATCTGTGCACTACTAGTCTTCTAGCTAACCATATTTCTCTGGTGCCATGCAAATATTTTGGACCACAACAAGCCATGCTCCTACCAGCCCCAGCATCATATGGCTGCGGTGGCTTGAGCTAATGAGAATTGTAGTTCAAAACAACTGGAGGGCACAAGGTTGGTGCAGGCTGCTCTGAATATTTTTTTCTTATATAAATAGGAGGTATTGCTGTTTTTAAAGAAGTTTGCTAGTGCGATGCTTGATTTAGGCTCAGGCCCATTGGTTACTTGCTAACATCTCTGTGATCATTTAACATTTATGTGGCCTGGTTTGCACATTGCCCTGAGCTTAAGCATGGCTTAGCAAAAGTATGTGGGCTCCAGGAGAGGAGATCCTGACTGCTTTGCTTCTCTCCTATGAACTAAGTCCTAGTTTGGCTTAGTATGTTGTCCAAACTAGGACTTATGATTTAGCTCTTCCTGACACACCACAAACTGTAAATCATAGGACAGATATTGGTTACAGCTTGTGGTTAGTTTTGGAGAGAGCTAAACCATGAGCCTTGGACCACACACTAAGCCAAATGATGGTGTAGCTCAGCATAACAGCAAAATGACTGTGGAGTAACTAAGCAGCCACAATCTCCTATCTGGGAGCCTGAGTGTTCACACTAAGCCGTGGTTTAGCTTAATGTGATGTGCAAACCATGGCATTGTTTCTAGATTGACAATTATTTGTGAGGTTGCTAGAATGTTGTGTCACCATAGTATGGTTTAGGGCTCATCCAGACTTCCTTTTTTTCATGTGTTTCTAGGCCAACGGCCACCTGTCTATCATGGCTGCCTCTTGTGACTGATCCAGTGTCATTGAACAAGTTGGAACGTTTCCAGGCAACTCTAGTAAGAATGTTCTTTTCTGGAACATTGGAGATGCTGTACAGTAATACAGTGATACCTCTGGATACGCAGACCTCTGGTTGCATATCCTTCAGGATGCGAACATGGCATACCCGAAAGTATTTTTCTGGGTTTCGCCACGTGCATGTGCGCAGAAGCGCACTACCACACGCATGCACAGAAGCAGCACCTCTGGTTGCAAATTCCTCGGGATCCGACCGGAGCTCCGGAACAGATCCCGCGCGCAACCGGAGGTACCACTGTATTTAAAAGAGTCTGCATTGCCCATGTTTGTTTGCATTTGTGGCACAATCTGTTGCCTGTGCTCAGTAGTGTGACATTTTGAATGCACCTTTGTGTTGGTTATGTAAAGTAGCATTAAATAAATTAAAAAGGGGTCTAGAAACCTGTGCAGTTGATTAGTTAAGGGTTGCCAGTTTTTATTAACTGAATTTCAGGGCACTTGAGGGCTCTTTGATACATGTGGATTAAAAATGAAACCTGTCAATGCTTAAGAGAAGGGACTATAATGTCTAACAACTAAAGTGAAGATATGATAGCAGAATATGGAAGGTTTCAGGTTCAGTCTTTGGCATGTCCCATTAAAGAACTGGATGTAGTAGGGCTAAGAGACCTCTTCCTGAGATGCTAGAAGATATATTTTCCTCAGGTTAGGTAGTGTGGGATGGAATGAGATGGATAATAGTCTTGGTAGATGTCTAGTGTCCATTCTGCAAGTATAGGTGTTTATGGCTGCCATTGGAAACCTCCCCCTCCATCTCCCCAATTTGAGGTGGCTTTGGAAACTCAGCAACCCTATATTCTGTCCCTTCTGTTATGTTCCATGACCTGCTGGCTGCTGTTCTTCTAGTTT